TCTGATTCCTTTCCCAGTCTAAATGCCGAGGAAGTGTCTCTCATTGCCTTGTCCTGGCCAGGTCTTCACCACTGATAAACTTGATGGAATTGCATACAAATATCAAGAAAAATCAATGTAAACCCTAGGTTGGATTGTGGAAATGCTTATTAAACTGATAAAGAATCACACAGAATTATGTACCCAGTGGGATGACAACTCCTTAAATCTATTTATGTGTATCGTTAAAGTGAGAAGAGGCCATAGTGAAATGTATTAAATGGCTTGTATTCTGGAAAACTTGGTTTATTTTGTGGTTATTGCGATCATGAATAATAATAATTGGCATCTGTGTGCCACATTGTGGAGTTTAGAGTGCAAGCTCCCTGGGAGAGGGGCGCTCTTCATATTTTTAAGTGAGTAAACTGAGGTTGTGAGTCGTCATGGGCCCTGCTCAGCAGCTGCAGGGTCAGACTAGGCCTCTCGCTCTCTCAGCTGCACTATGTTGTGTCTCATGTTGTAAAGTTGGCCAGCGAAAGAGAATTTTAAATTCAACTCTGTATATAGTAGGACTCCTCGAGTTTGGTGATTGCAGGAGCAGTGGGAAGGTTATCTTTTATCGTGATCAAGACATGGACCCCTCCTATGTCAGATCTGGTATAAGAAACATACAGAAAACTGTTACTAACCTTAACTGTTTCAAATATTAAAGTGGTGCCAAACAGTCCTAGGGATGTCTCAGTGTCCTATTACAAATGATTTTGCATAAAGGGAGCATTCTCATGATTTCCAGGGTTTGCAATACCAACTTATCTAAGCTATCTGACTGGAGATGCTACCGTCAGTCTGAAAGCTCTGTTACGGTCCTAAACACGATCTACTTCTTTAAGTAGGGATTAGATGACCAAATATTGGTTCAGTGAATGAGCATGGCCAATTCTTCTAAACATGCTATAGTCTCCTGGTCTAGAGCATTGCATTATTTTCTGACGTGGAAGAAGGAAGATACTGTGTCACATGTCAAATACATATTGAGGATAATCGTAATTTTTCAGAGACTAAGAAGGGAGGGAAAATCCAAATCTTAGTCTGTTGTAATTCTTGCTTTTACAGAGGGTGGGTGATCTAGTTCAAAGGCCAGAACACATCCTGCAAAAGGGGTTGTGACAGCCTGGCACCTATGGGAACTCAGGAAGGCCCTCCTCCGTCCTGTGCGGGAAGGTCCTGCTAGTCAAAGATGATTGGGGAGCTCATAATGCTAATGATGTGTAAATGCATTTTCAGCTATTTTATTAAGCTGGCCTTTCCAGGTTCATTATCATTAATATTTATGCTTGGGATATGTTCCTCCAGAGATTCTGCAAATAGCTCTCCTATTCAGGTAAAATTTATAGCAAATTGACTAAGGGGAGGCACCCGTGAGCACAGGCTTGCACTTCTCATAGGAAATGAAAGCTTTACTTTTGCCTTGGTGTGGTCTGGATTGTCAGTCTGTAGGTCCAGGCATCCTTTAGATGGAACTAATTAACTACACTGATATGAATTAAGGGGAATATCAATGTCTGTGTGCTGGAAGGCAAGGAAGGTGTTGCAGACTCCCTGAGATCACATCCTTCTCCATTGTCTTTGGCTCTAATTCTACATTCGCTGCTGCCACAGTCTCAATCTCCAGCAAAGGGTTCCCATTTCCTCTGGATGCGAAGGTGCAGCGATGACCCCTGCAGAGTTCCCTGCTCAGTGGGGTGGAAAGGTGTGCCTTCTTGCAAGAGTCCACACAGAGTCCTGGCACTTGCAACTGTGTCATCTGCACCTGCCACATCTCAAATGGGGCTTGTCATTTCTGGCAGGGCCAGGAGGAAGGAAGTGGCTTTACCACTCAGCCATGCATTTGCTGATGAGCCCTAGGTGGGCTGAGGAGCTGTGGGGAGATGACAGACTTGGGTATAGGATCAGAGATTATCTCTGGTACATTTTAAAACAATGGGTTCATCTGTACTCCTGAAAACATTTTTTTGGGGGAGGGTATGGAGGAGTTTCACAAGAGTATGAGCCCCTAATAAGATGACAAACACCAATTCCACAGGCAACCTGGTCTAAAACAAACCCACATACCTGACTCCTGAAAGTCACCTAATCCCAGGCTCAGGGAAATCCTCACCTGTGAAAGCAGGGGGTTGAGTAGATCAGCTCTATGGTCCTTTCCTTCAATAATGGTTCTCCTTGCTGTTTGGATTCTAATAAGATCTCATTTATGTGGGAAACTGTCCACAGATGCTGAAGCTGTCCCTGAGTGGGCTTTGTAAATAGTACCCAGACCTCATGGGGCCCTGGGGATCATACCACCTGGAGGTGGAGAGGAGAGAGAATTAGGGGTTCTAAAAACAGTCCAAAAAAATTAGAAATGCAATAAGCAAATGCAACATGTGATCCTTGACAGGTTCCTGGGTTTAGAATAAAACAGCTATAAAGGACATTATTGCGACCATGGGGGAAATTTGAATGTGATTGCATATTAGATGATACTGAGTTACTCTTAAATTTCTTAAGTATGAAATTGGTGTTATGGTCATGGATATTTATGTAGTACACACAGTTGAAGCAAAGGAAAATATGAAGAGTTGGGGAGTGTGGGTGAAGCTTATATGGGTATTCATTGTGCTGTGTTTTTTTTTTTTTAACTGCAAGTTCAAAGTTTCTTAAAAAGTGTGGGAGATTGCCTTGCAGTCAAGTGTGCTGTAGTGTAGATCCTCCCTTCCTAGTCTCCCTGCTCCCTGTTATTCCTTGTGCATGTTGAGCGCCCCTCATGCCTGCTGTCCTTTCAGTTCTTTTTCTCCTTTGTTCTGTTCTCCCGGGAGACAAAGGCAGCAGCCTCCTTGTAAGTGTAGGCCTCAGCTGGCCTGGTGGTGTGGAGAGTCTCAGGACTGTTCCCGGAGCCTGTAGTTGTGTCTTGGCCACTCTCATAAGCCACTCTCAACAGCAGAGGCAGCAGAAGCTAATGCTGTTGGAGCTCACTTGGCGCAGGCACTTTATCTGCACCAGCACAGCCGATTCTCACAAACCGACCTTGGGTAGTTCTCTTATCATTCCCTTTCACAGACAAGGCTCCAGAGCTCGCACTGCTTACAAATGGCAGAGCAAGGATATTGAAAAACCCAGGACGGATGCCTCCCAAGTCTTCCTTCTTAACCGTCATTGAGTGGATTTCAGCCTGGAGTCACACTGCCATGACCTGGAGGGCATTTTCAAAATAGACACTTTTGGGTGCCCCTCTCAGGAGTCCTGAGTTTGGCAGCGGGGCTGAGATGTCTGTCTGTATGGGCCTAGCTGTTTGACTGCTGCCTCCATTCTTTCTCTGAGTCTTTGGGGAGTTCCATCTGTGACCTGACCTGTCTCTTCTCCCATCCTCACTTGGAGAGTGAACTCCTTTAACAGAGAGGCTTGCCTCAACCCTTCCGTTCTGCTCAGACCACTGTTTATGTTGGCCATGGCAGCTGGTAGGATGCAAGCTGAGGGCTTGGAGTAGTTGAACTAATAAACTTGCCGCACACTATTCCCTCCTCTCTGCTTGCAGAGGAGTAGTAGTGGGAACTCAGGTGTAGCCCCCTGTAGATCCCTGTCGGGGAGACTTGTTCCTCCTGACTCCTCTGGGGAAGAGAGGACAGAGGCACCCAGAAGAAGAATAGCCTTCAGCTATATCCACAGTGTTTCATTTGTTATTTTGGGGATGAATCTCAGGGGAATTAGGGTGAGTGAAAACGTCAATACCCAAAGACTATATGCTGTGCCTTTCCATTTATGTAGCGTTCATGATATAATGAAATTATAGAAATGGGGGACAGATTAGTGGGTGCCGGGAGCCACGGGTTTCAGGCATAGATGCTACACAAGGGTATCATAAGGAGCCCTGGAGGGGCTGGAAATGTTTCTAGATGGAGTCAGTGTTAGTTTCCTGGTTGTGATATTGTACTGTGGTTTTGCATAGGTGCTGCCTTCTGGAGAAATTGGGCAGAGGGCGTAAGTGTCAGTGTCACATGAGTCTTGTTTTAAAAATAAAGAGCTTTGCCCTCTGCTAGCCTTAGCAGTGTTATTTCAGTAGATCTGCCTGTTCTGCTTCCTACTTTGTCTCTGGTGAATCCTCTCAGCTCCCACACCTCTGGCCTGTACCCCAGTACTTCTACGTAAGAATAAATAAAATCTTAAAAAAAAATACAAGATTGGGAAATTTGAACAATCTAGATTTTTGATGATATAGTGACTATATATGGTTATATATTTTCTTAAGGATAACAATTATAATACTTACAAGTAAAATAATGTGGTTTCTAGGATTTGCTTTAAAATATTCTATAGTGGCGATAACATGTAAGAGTGCAGATGAGCTCACTTGTACTATTCTCCTTACAGATTATCTTGAAATTTTTTCCAGAGTATCAACTTTAAAAATAAAACTCAATTACAAAAACAAAACAAAACAAACAAAAAAAAGCTTAATTAAAAAAAGGGAGGTGATAATGCAGATGTGGCACAACATGAACATCTATTCTCTTCGGTTTTGGGTACATGGAAATATGTTATATTTGTTGTATGACTTTCATTATTTTCTGAATGCTTGAAATGTATATAAACAAAACCCTCTGGAGTTATCTAGACAAATGTCGAAATAGGCACTCTTGCCCAAGACCCACTCCTAGGCCTTCAGGCCCATGTGAGAGCTTTGCAAGGACTGGGAGGAAGGGCTTAGCTGTGATGCTGGCCCAGACTGCCTTCACCTTTTATAGACCTCATGTAACTAAGGAAGGCGTCCAGTCCTCCTTGAGCGTTGGGACTTCCTATTTCCCTCGTCACTCCTGGTGAAAGTCTTTGGCATGTTAACAATGTGGGCAAAATGATAGTATACTGATTCTGGGAGATAGTTACTTCTAGACTAGAGACACCGCTGCATGAAAGGCCACTTTCTCACCCGTATCCTTCCTTCACTTGGTGTATTAGAATAAAGGAGACAAACATAGCAGAATCTATGAAACAGCTAAATCACAACTTTTAATACATTCAAAGGGACAAAATGAAGACATATAGGATAGTTTTAATATGACAGTATGTCCAAAAAGATCACGTAGATTGTAATACAATCTTAGTAATCGTTAGAGTTGGGTGTTTTCAATCCAGCATCCCAAGACGCAACTGGCTGCAGTGGGTCTATTCACAAGGATTCTGAATGACAATCAGGAGATATTCCTTATCTGTGGAGCAATAGGGACAAAAATCAATGCACTCTAAAAATTCAATTTCATAAATAAGTATTTCGGCTAATTTGCTTTTTTCTCTTCAAGAGCTATGTGGACCTAGTGTAGACAAAGTTTCCCACCTTGGTCACACATGGTACTTTTTGTTGGGCTTTCAAAAATACCCCTGCCTGGGTCCCAGCCTCAGAGCTTCTGATTTCATCCATCTGAGGTAGAGCCCCAGACATCAATCAGGTTTTGGTCTGATGCACTCTTTTTTTTTTTTTTTGTAAAGATTTCCAGGAGATTCTAATGTACAGCCAGGGTGAGAAGATTTTACAGATGTATAAAGGAGTTTGTTCTGGGCTAGATTTAGGAGCATGAGTCTATTTTTTCACTGACATGTATCAACAAAGAAGTGTTTCTGTGGCTGCTGTCTTTGGTAGGCTGGGTGGATGTGCTTTTTCCCCCAGGGGGTGTATAAGACTCCACAGGCCTTTGATCCACCCCCTAAGTTATCCCTTTGGGCATAATGAGTTCACCTAAAATGAGACCCACAGCTCCTATGTTATTTGAAAGGGGGCAAAATACAACTTCGTCCATGGTCAATTCACTAATATCACAGAATTTTCTGGTTGGAATTTTTCAGATTCAGACTTCTTCATTTTGTATTTGAGAATATTGTGTCATGTGGCTTATTAAAATATTGATTCCCTATTCTTTAAAACAAAACTTTCATCCAGCAAAGTAGGAGGAGGCTTTGCATTTGAAATGTAATGCCAGATTACCTGGTGCTACCATGATTTCATGTTTCTTTGATCTGATCCTAAGAAAAGTCAGGTCGTTCTGTGGGTCGATATCACGGACTGTGCTCTTGGTTTTCATAGTCAGCTGGTGAAGAAGACCTGCATATTGAACTGTTGTTGAGTTGTCCAAGGTTGTTCGGATCGGAATGCCTATTATGAGATTTAATTTGGGGTGAAAATTTTTTCCTACTATAAAAAAGTAATTTGCACATTGTTGAAATATTGGAAAATATTGATCCTTGAACAGATGAAGGAAAAAATGATGGTAGATGTCACTCTTTGGTAACAACTTTATTTCCTTCCCATCTTTTTGTCTCCACATGATTTTAAATTATAGTTGTATAAATAAAGGGTCACCCATTTAATTGGTGAGCAGTGGTAGTGGTGCAGCAGGTTGAGTGCAGCGTTGTGAAGCTGTTTGCAGCCTCTGCAGTGTGGGTTCGATTCCTGGCTGGCCAGGGAGAAACCCACATGGGGCAGCAGAACTCTCCTGCCTCACCCGCTGCTCCCCTTAGCAGTGTATTTTGGTCCTTCTACCTGTTCTGCTCCCTGCTCTGTCTCTGGTGAATTCTCTTGCCCTCCCACGCATCTGACCTGTAACCCAGTGCTTGTATAAAAAAAATAAATAAAAAGGTAAATCCTCTTTAAAAAAACTTCATTTGAATGATAGCATACAAGTTGACTTCATTGGGGCCATTGTCATCAACATTATTTAATGGCTGTATACCTTACTAGTTTATGGATATATCATAATATAATCACCCTATTGTTGGATTGTTAGGTATTATGTATATGTGGTTTGTGTGTGTATAAATGTATTCATTTAAGAGCATTTTGGAAGTTATTTGATAATTTCAGTAATTACTGAATTTGATAAATAAATTCAGTAATAAGTTAACATATTACTATAATACAAAATGCATTCCCTCAAACATCTTGTCTACAAAAAGTCAGCCTTGAAATACTTAGTCTGTGTGTGACATGATGCTAGTTTTCTTCCCCGAAATTACAAAAAGAAAGGGGTATGACCGCATATGCTAGGGAGTATATCAGATAGAACTTTCAAAACATTTTTGTAACTCCTCACACTGTATTTTGCAAACCTTCAATTGCATGTCAGAAAAATTGTATATAGCAGCAAAGACGTTGTAGTTTTACTGGGTATTCCCTGGTTTGTACTCATTCTTGGTTTAAGCATTATTAAATTTGGCTATTTGTGTGCTATATTGTTCCATTACAGGAGTTTAAACAGAACCTATTAATTTAACTGGAAAAATTTAGCCAGACAAATATGCAAGCGTAATGCAATTCACTTCAAATCAATCTAGCCCAATTCAGATCACCCAGCCCAGCACTCAGTGCTTATTGTGTAATGGGTGTGCTAGGTATTTTACATGGATTGTATTTAATCTGAGATGGCCTGAACGTTATTTTGAGAAATACCAGACATCCAGGGAATTAGAGAGAGTTGACTTGCAAATGTGCCTTTTATTTAGGAGGATATATGAAGATGAATTTGGGATTGCTGTCAGATTCCTCAAAGGAGTCTCAGGGTGGCTCTTGGCTTGCCCTGGGAGAATGTAGCTCCAGAAACCATAATGCATGATGAGCACTTTAAGAGTAGAACAGTATTACAAACTGGGGATTTTATCCATATGTTTAATTCTTTGTGAGTCTCAATTTTAACTTTGAAACAGACTAATTTATTTTTCTTTAATGAAAACTATTATCTCCAGAACAGTCCTTATTAAACAAGAGGACAATATTTACAGGAAAACTTATTCAGTTTATCAGAAATATGAAACTAAATCCTTGATAATTTCTGAATTAGTATTTGTTGGCTACCTTTCTCCTAGAAGTCAGTTACCTTTCATACTCGATGAAACATTACAAGGCATGTGTCTTTAACAAGTAGGCAACTGAAAAGTAGCAAGCACGCAACCTTTTAAGAGCACTTTTTGATGCAGTTTTATTTTGTGTCCTAAATAGTGACTACCTTGAAAGCCTGCATTGCTCAGTGTCAAAATAAGAAATACAACCAGAATAAATTATTTAAAAATGGATGACAAGATTATGAATCAGATGCACAGGCCTGTTTAGTTAGTCTATTCATGATCCAAGTCAATAAATAAAACAGCTAGCCTTTCTGAATAATAAGTGCATATTGTAGAAATCCTTGGAGTTTTTCTATCAGTTATAGACATTTCAAAAAATCAATCAACAGATATTTATTGAGCTTTTTGCTTGGTACTATGTGAGGTAGTTACAAAATAATTTATTAAGAAGTAATGTTAGCACCTGGTATACAATTCATCCATTGTCCTCTTCTAAGAGGTAACCACTGCTTCCAGTTTCTTGGGTATCCTATCAGAGGTACTCTGTCCACTCAACCCTGTTTGTGTTTGTATTCTTTCACTGTAACCATTCTCGATTATGTCCTTTATTTTTTTTTTAATTTAATATACTTGGGAGAATTTCAGTACACAAAAGGCTAAGATCATTCATGCTAATGGATGCTTGGTAATACACAAAACTAATATATCCTCCTGGTGAGCATTTAGGCTGTGCCTAGACTCTGACTTTTATAGATAAGGCTACAGAGTATGTCCTTGTTTGTGCCATTTATATGTGTAGGATAAATTCCTAAAATGGAACTCCTAGAACAAAGAGTATGAATTTGATATTGTAGAATATATGGCACTACTTTAAAATACAACTCTTTATGTTCCTAGTAAGCTGGTACTTGTCAGCTGTACATTTCTACTTTGTTTGATAGATTGTGTTTCAAAAATGAAAGGATTTGGCTAGATGACTGATAAAATTTAATGCAATTCAAATGGTGAATTGTTAGAAATGTCAAGAATATTTAAAATTAAGGACCTACAGAAATCAAGTTTAAATTCATAAGACTACATGATAGATATGACTGCCTGAGAACATGTTACACATTTTATATATTTATATATAATTTATATTCCTCAATATCTAATTCAATGATCATTGCTGTAATACTGTAAACAACAAGTGGTTTTCTAAGTAGGAAACCAATGTTGACAAAGAATCTACTCTAATAAAAATCCATACCACTTGCATTGGGATAAATTGATATCAACTTTATTATCAAGAATAGGAATCTGTGTTTCAATATTGGTGAAATCAAAAGACACTGTTTAATATAGCATATGGTGAGATCTGAATGTATAAACATGGTAGAATACCTGACTACAAATGAAGTCTGAAATTGCTAAAATGATTTGCCTAGAATTAGTAGACTAATACCACTAGTAGAGAACAAAAACACATAAATACCATCTTAGTTAAATACTGAATTTTCAGTATTAAATTTCTCAGGACTTCTGAAGGCTGTAAATGTATATTATGATAAATGGCACCTTCATCTAACATTGAGTATGCTCTTGAAATGAAGTAGTTTATTACAGTTTGGTAACACAGTATATCATAAGCTGTTATTAAACATCCTTTCTATGCACTCTGGTTATTAACAATCTGACCATAAAAATCGGCCCCTCATTTATAATTTTGGAAAAAAGGTTAATTCAGCTTTCTGAAAAGTGCTCTAAATCCAAACACAACCTTATCCGGTGGAGATGAAATAGAGGAAGCTAGTAGGTATTAAAAATATTTTGTTGCCTTTGGGTAACAGAAGTGCTAATTGTGAAATCGCAGGAAGATAAAGTAAAAATCACTTTTAATCCCACCATAACATATCCCTCCCTTTTCTTCTATATGTAAGTATGTGTGTGTGTGTGCCTGGTTCTGTCTGTCCATATATACATGTATGCATGCATGTATGTATAACATATATAGTTATAGATAACTATATATAACTATATAGAATGTTATATATAACATATATAATGCATATATCATATAGTTATATAATTTAAACTCTCCCTTACTACTGGATAGATTTACTTATTTGCCTGTTTATTTATTGCCATTATATATAGTGTCTCAGTGAGTTGTTTTTGGACCTAAATCTTAATTATGCCTTAAGATAAATTCCTAGGGGTGGAATTACAGATCAAAAGGTGTGGTTATTTTTCAGACCTCTGATGCATATTGCCAGGATATGGCCTTTAAATTAAAATGTTTCAAAGCAACACAGTCGATGAGTTGTCCTGGGAATCACAGGTGAATGTCTGCCCTGAACCTCAGAATCTGACCTTATTTGGAAATAGGAAATCTTCCTTGAAGATGTAATTGGTTAAGATGAGGTCACACTGCTTTTGGTGGGCCCTAATCCAGGAATTGGGATCATTCTAAGAAAAGAAAACAGACAGCTAGAAGAGAATGCTATGTAACAAAGGAGGTAGAGGTTGGAGTGATATGTCTTACAAGCCAAGGAATGCCAAGAATTGCTAGAAACCACCAAGAGCTGGGAGAGAGAGGCAAAGGAGCATCTCTTGTAGAGCCTTCAAAGAAAGTTTGGCTTTGCTGACACCTAGATTTCAGCTTCCAGCCTCCACAATGAAGAGAGAATACATTTCTAATCCTCAAAGCCACCAAGTGGGTGGTTCTTTGTCATAGTTGCCAAAGGAAATGAATACAGCCCCTCTATGAAAAGGCAAGCAGATAGCCCATCTTAGGGGGTGTGATAGTTTATGCAGATAGTTGAATCTTAAATCAATTCATCCAGAACTAGTGCTGGATTACTTCCTGGGAATATTAGGCATAGCTCTTAACTTACCTGGCTGATCTTCAATCCTCTCCCTCCTGATTACTTAGGCTGGCTGAATGTATTATGTTTTTTAGCATTGAATTACTTTTATTACCTTACAAAACAGTCAAATGTTTTATCTATAAAAATCAAAAGCTCCCACATTCTCAGAACTATTTAATTATAATTCTATTAAATGTTGGGTATTGTGCCAGATACTTGACAATTATTATTTCATTTAATTATCACAACCCTCAGTAAAGTAGGTTATTTCCCATTTTTAAAGATGAAGGATTGAAGTTTAGAGTTTTAACAGACTTTCATTTAGTAGTCGCTCAATAAATATTTATTGATGGATTTACTCCAAAATGATTAGCTGTGAAGTTTTGTTGCCAAGCACTAAGTTGGCAATGTGCCAAATTCATGGTTGCACTGAGTTATGTGAAATAGCTACTCTTATTTCAGTGAATGCTCTGGGATTTGTGGCACCTCTTGCCCTTAAAAATGTCTGAAGTAGCAATAAAACTGGCAGGAGTCTTTAAGAGGTTGCGTTCCACCGTAGTTGAGTATAGAGCAGATGCCAGAGAAAATGCTGCACAGGTTGTTAATCGGGATGGTGGAGGAAGAGCAACCTTCTGATATCTAAGTCTACAGATATCATAGGTAGAAATGTATTGATTTCTCATATAGTATATCCACAAAGAATATACTATAAGTAATATGCAACTTAGTTCTCAAAGATGTTTTTATTAAATATGGAAAAGAAATAATTTTATTTAAAATGAAGACTGAAACACTGTAACTTTTACATAAATGTTAAAACAAAAAATAAACTGCTAATGATATAGTCACTATTCTCAATAAAGATGGTTTTATGGGTATTCCCAAAATATTACATGAGATTTACCAAGGCCTTAAAAATTATACAACCTATAGTGTTTCTTGGTAATATATAGATAATTCTAAACATGTCTCATTCATTCTGCTCTCAGCAGAATACTTGGCTGTTAACAGATACTCAGTAGATGTCTAATAAGTAAACAAGGTAGCTATACAGCTAAAGTATCCAACAATGTGTTTTTGATTTCAGATTCTGAGAGGTTTGTCTTAAGGTGTGCCATAACAGAGTGGTTCTTGGTTGGTTTGTGTGTATCAAGAAGGCATCCTGGATTAAAGTTACCTTCTGCGTTTACAACCATTGTTCCAATAACCCCTTTATGGCTCTGGATCCTCTTTAGGGTTTCTTCCACCTCTGCCTGGAAGAGATCAGGATGGCAATTAGCCAATAGGATCTTGACGGAGACCTCAATCCTAAACAGAATAATGCTTAGAAAGACACCTACACCCCTTTCTCCTTAACCTAAGGTACTGGATGCTGTAATCTTTTTGGAAGAGAATTTTGAAATTGTTAAGTCTTCTGGGTTCACGTGTGTGTTAAGACCCTTACATATAGTCCTGACCAATCTCTCAGCTCGAACTCCTCTAGAGACAGAGCTTACAGCTCATTCCATTTTTATCTGTCTTTATTTGCTGGAACAGTGTTCTTGATAGTGAATAGAAATCTTTCCCCCAATATCTTTTACTTACTGATCTTTCTGTCTTCATATGAAAATGCCATTTCTGCATGAGTTCTTTAAATATTTATAGAGCATTTCTTCTCTCTTTCTAAAAGTATCCTTTAATCAGAAATCTTATCCCAGTCTAAAGATTTTCTAATTGGGAGTTCAGATGGTTAAATTCAGGACATTCTGTGAAAAAAAAAAAAAAAAAAAACACAAAAAAACCCCAACATGCTCCAGGGTATTCTCTTGGTAACTATAGCCTGGGCCATGAATGGTCATGGTTGTAACCCCATTTTTGGGTTTTAAACTAGCTTTGTGCATGAATCTTATGCATAGACTGTAATGTACTAGTTTCTTCTATACACATGTTAAATTCAAGGATAATCTCTTCTCAAACCTGCATATTGTTCATAACTGAGTAATCACTGGATATTCTGACTTCAAACAGAATTCTGCAGTCTTCTTCATGATGGTTTGCGATTTTTTCTCTTCCAAAATCATACAGGTGAACATTTGTTACTTTAGACAGAAAAAGTTTTCTTTCGCACCACATGTGGACAGGAACAATTACTTCCTTTTTTTTTCCTTGCCACAGCAGCAGGTGTTTTCTGGATTTCAGGCATTTATGTACCAGAGACATGATTTTTTCCAGTCTGAATATCACCTATTTTATCTAGTATGCCCTTTAAATTATGTCACTGCTAAAAACTTGAATAAATGCATTTTCAGAGAAACTGTACATCACTGCCACAAACGGAAACCTGGTATTATGTCATAAACAGAAATAACCATAAAACCAAACAAAAGGAAGAGAGACTATATTCATTGTATTTTAATGAAAAGTCTGATTCATTAATGAATCTGATTTGCGGGTGAAAAATCAAAATTACCAAATTACAGATTAACAAATAGTGACAGATGCTTTCTCCTGGATACAGGCTAAAGGCTGAAAAAAAAAATGGAAGGGAAATAACTTTCTCAGATGTGCTTCACTCTGGTATTTGGTATTTCTAGACCATTTACATTTTTGCCATCTTTAAGACAGACAACCACTACCCTTGTTGATGTTCTCTCTTTTTTAACTCTCTCCTAAAAGGCTCTCTGTCCTTGCTTTCCCGCTTTTCTGGCTTCCTCTTTTCCTGATTTCTGAACCCTCCTAATACAATCTCTTAATCCCTATCACCACTTTCACGCTTTTTCATTGTTTTCTTGAAACACTTAATTTTTTTTTCCCAAACTTTCCCCACCTCTATTGGCCCTTTCTTCCCCATTTTTCTTTTATCCTCCTTATTTTAGTAACGACTTTAGCTCTCCTCCCATCCCCTCTTTTCTCTTTGTTTTCCTTCCTTCTTTTCAATAACTCTGCCTTCTCCCCTTTGTCCATTCCCTTGCACTCCCTATCCTGTCCGTCCTTGCCTCTCAGGATGCTTTGCTTCCTCTCAGTTTCAAACTCTCTTTGCTGTGGAGATCTCTCATCCTCCGCAGGATCTTACATCCCGCCAATCTCTGTCCCCTCTTTCTCAATACCGCCTCCCCCCCCCCCCCCCCCCCCCCCCCCCCGGAATCTCCCATTCCAGGCCTCCCTGGTGGCGCAAGGGGTTAAGCACCGCACTGTGAAGCAATCCGCAGCCTCTGCAGCGCGAGCTCAATCCCTGGTGGGCCAGGGAGCTACCCACATGGCGCAGCAGACCTCTCCTGTCTTGCCGCTGCTCCCCTCAGCAGTGTATTTCATCAGTCTGCCTGTTCTGCTCCCCACTCTCTCTGGTGAATCCTCACACCCCCTGCACCTCTGGCCTGTACCCCAGCTCTTGTATGCATAAATAAATAAACCTTAAAAAAAAAAACAACAAAAAAACCCCCAAAACTCCCACTCCAGGAAAGCAACCCACCTCCCTCGATACCTTCCCGGTCTTCTACCCCTCCCCCACCCCCTTCAAGACACCCTTTCTTCTCCCTGCGACCCCAGAACCACCAGAAATGGGTCGGTCTCAGACCGGCAGTGAGGGTCCCCTTTGGTGGGCGCCCGGAGACAAGGGTATCAGACGGAAACCCCAGATTTACCATGGCGCGGGCAGCGAGACTCTGGGCTCAGTCCCGAGCCAGCCCTGCTAGGAGGTGCCAACAATGTTTCCACCGTTGCTAGGAGACAGGGGAGGAAGTGACCTTCCGGAAGCCAGGGCGCCGGCGCCTGCGTCCTGCAGGTGGGGCCGCTGCCGAGGCGCTCTTCCGCCCTGAGCAGACGCGCTCGAGGCCTCCGGGCCTCCGTAGGCGGGGCTTGGGGGCGTGGGCCCCGCCCGCTCACCTGGGGCGCTCGATTGGGGGAGGGGGGTAGGTAACCGGGCCGGGAGTGGGGGGGGGGGGGGGGTGGTGGTGGTGGTGGTGGCTATAGGCCCCTCTGGGTCTTTCCTTGGTCCGTTTATCCCTTCATTCCTGAATGAGGAAGTAACAACCACTTCCTCATTCAAGAGCAATTTCTTGACTACCAGGCTTTCCTCTGGGTCCGCAGTTGTGCGTTCTAACTGGGGAGACAAACAAAATGGGACTAATGAAGCTGTACTAGCAAAGTGTGATGAATGCTGGGGATTGGGGTAGGGGGCAGCAAGTGAACAGGACAGGAGTCCATCAGACCCCAGTCTTTGGCCACTGCAGTTATTTGTAAAGAGACTCAGCTGCCATGTGACACTCGGGGTGCTCTCTACAGCTCTGCCCTGTGCAGTGTTGATAGGTGTGGTCACCCCAAGACAGTTTTTTAAAATTACATCGTTGCTTATGTTTGTACAGCAGTTGCTCTCTTTCCTCAGGTGTAGTCCCGTAAGTTCTCCCACCACCCCATTACCTGTGAACCATCACCATCACCATCACCTCTGGTGCTCTCCCCTCCCCTGTTGTAGGCCTCAGATCTATGGCCAGCTTGCAAGTTTTGTCTTCTTGACCTTTTGTTTGGTGGTTCTGTATTTCACATATAAGCAAAACTGCTTGATAATAGTCTTTTTCCTTCTTAGACTTATTTCGCTTTGCATAATCACTTTCAACACCATCCATATTGCCACAAATGGCATGGGTTTGTCGTTTTTCATGGCTGAGTAGTATTCCATTGTGTATATATACCACAATTTTTTAAAAATAGAAAACTATTACACCAATGAACACTGTAGTCATATCTATATATGTTAATTTATGTCCTACATCCCAAAAGCACTGCGGCATGTTCCATTTTACTCCTTAAACTCTCATCAAGTTGTTCAGTCAGTTGACTTGCTGGTTACCAATATTTTTGTTTAATCCATTAGATTCTTTATTTTTTGGTCATTATTGGCTAACACTTCTGAGTTACTGAAAAATTACTTGTGGTGGTGCTGGAGAGTACAACTTGCCAAAGCAGTGCATTCCACTGGGTAGTCAAGGAACCAAAGGAGGAAGCTGTCCTTAAAAATAAGTGAGGGATGGTGAGAAATCATGTGATCTTTTGAAAGGTGTTGGTAATATCTTTGTAGCCTCAGAGAAAGAAACCAACTCTTGTGTGAAGTGAAACAGGACATTTGTGACTGGAGCTGTAATAAAGCCCTGGGGGTTGAAGAGGGCAAGTATTGATTATTAAACAAAAGTTGTAAATTGGGAGGGCATCTCCATAGAGACCATGCTATAATGGCTCCCTCTACTACTGATTCAGTTTGTGCTTCCATTATAAGCAGTAAGCACACTTACTGCTAGGAATGTCAACTTATTGCAAGGCCCTTGTCAGGGACACTGGACAGTAATTTTGAACTCATGGTGCTTTTGGACTAAGATCAGTTTCATCTCAGTGTGTATCATTTTGTGATGTTATATACAAAACTGTCAGTAGCTCTAGTTCTGCTTAAAACTTTTTCTTTTGTGTATGGGGTGGTGATGCTGGCATTGTCATTTTTCCTAAGAAACATATATTTCTCAAAAAGCCATGTTGCAATAGTTAAGTAATCTCCCTGTCATCTAATACATGGAGCTCCAGTGAAATAATTTGGAATAGACAGCTGAGCTTATGGAGGAGAGAGAGAGAGAGTATGTGTGCGTGTGTGTGCGTGTGTGTGCGTGTGTGTGCGTGTGTGTACACGTACAGAGCTGACTCTTCAATGATTGCTCATATCTACCATTTTCCAGTAATTTATGGTGTTATTGGCTGCACTGTATAAAAACTGCTTCTTGGGTGCTCTGGGAGTTTCTGATCAAGAAGACTAGTGTTGCTATTTGTTTTGTTTAATAATAATAAGTGGCAGTGCACCATATCTGTTATGTCAATCAATGTTAATGAAGGAAAGGACTGCATATGCATGGAGTGTGAATCCCCTCGTTTCTGGAGTCAGGGTGTCAAACTCATTCAATAGCTGATAGCTGTGATTAGAGCAAAGAAAGACTCCAGCATGAAAGGCACTGACAAGAGTACCCAACTGCTTAAAAAGTAATAAGAAGTAGCCAAACTGACTTCCAACCGACACTCAAGTTTGACTCACTGTGCACAAGAAATCAATGAGGAGAATATGAGCCATTTTCTCCTTATTGATTTTCACTTCTAATTATTCCTTGGAGGTAGCTTGGTTTAATTTTTATGCCTTTTTTTTGGGACTATAATGAATATCCAGAGCTGTGCTACATAAAGCATCTCAGTTGTGTCTGACATATTCCCTGTTCTGTCCTGGGTGTGAAGCATGGTGAACATGAGACAAGCAGGCTGGGGTTCTTGAGTAATGACCTTTTGCTTAGTTCCTGGTAGGAATCTTGCTTCATGTTAGACCATGTACCTCCATGAGGCAGGATGGAGGGGGTGGGGTAGGGTCCCATGCCTGCTGACCCTTTACTCACTCCATGGTATGCAACTGTACCACTCACTTCTTGGTATGTAGCCATGTCATATGTGACCATGTACAGCTGCCAATGCAAACCTACCCGGAACTTTGTAAAAACTGAAAGTGTATATAAGCCCCTGACTTGCTACAAATGGGGTTCATCCTTTGGATGCTAATCCACTGAGTCAGCATCGGTGCAGTAAACCTGCTTCTTGTTAGCCCTGGTGTCCGAGTTTGTGCCATGTAACAGGTACACGTGGGTCTTTCCCTTCCCCTTCTCTTCTCCCAGCCCCTCACCATTCCTTTTGATCCATAGTAAATGCTAAATAACTATGAGCTTGAGTGAAAGATTTATTGAATAATATTTTTTGCAAGTACTCTGAAAGGACCCCAGAAGTTTGATCCATGTGAAGACTAAGTTTGTCATTCTTCACATTTAATTTTATTAAAGGGAGGTCACTGTCTTTTTGGGTCTCTTTCTCTGATAATTTGCTGCTGTGCTATGTCTAGCCTGAAGAAATCCAGGTAACTTCATCATCTTCAGTTTTCTTTTGGGATTTTCTCTCCCACCCCTTATAGCCATTTTTGGCATTCTTTCTAGTTAGAGAATACTACAAACTAGGCCATGGACTGTATTTCATCTCCATTTCTCATAAGATAAATACAACTCAAACAAAATTTGGAGTTATATGAAGTAAAGGTTAATATTTGTAGGTGTGCTTTCTTAAGTGAAATAAACTCTAAGAGCTTTCGTTTCTTTATTTATTAAATAGTAAGGATCATATCTACCTTAACATGTTGATGTGGTTTAAATGTTATTTGCCTTTCTTGCTTTAGGTGTACATGAATCTTTTAACCATGTCTCTTTCTTGTGTCGTTTCCTTCCTTGAGTCCTTCCATCTCTTCCCTTATTCCCTTTTCTCCCCTCTTTCTCTCCTTCTTATATTTCTTTATTCCTAGCCTTTACCTCCTGATTTGCCTCCCCCATTTCTTTCCTTTCCCTCTTTTAAACTCTGTCTCCTTTTCAACCTACCTTTCTGTGATATCTCTAAGAAAAATGCCAAGGATTTTCTTTGTTGTCTTTCTCACTAAAGGACTTCTTTCCCTTTCTTCTTTTTGTTCCTTCGCTTCATTATTCACTTAGAATATTCATCTAATGTAATTCACCTACCTCTAATCTTTTTTCCCTTTAAACTTCTAGTTCTGACAAGCAGTTTGCACCTTAGTGTATACACTCATTAGATATTCTCAGTATCTTAAGGTTGAGGGAAAACTGTAATTATTTCCTGGTCTGTTAATTTTGTTCAAAAAAGGAATGGTAGAAAGAATTAATAAATTCCCTTCTTTTTCTGATAATGTAGTCCCAGGGTCTCTGACCTATTTTTTTTTTTTAAGTTCTCTTACCTGTAAAGTTCCAAAATTACTTTCATTGGTTGGCATAACACACACACACACACACACACACACACACACACACACACGTTAGATACACAAAACAAAAGTTAGGTCAGTGAGTTACTAACATTTAGTGCATAAAGCAAAATGTACAGTTGGTGAATTACCGCAAGGTAAACTCCTGTGTTACCCCCAACCACATCAAGAAATAGAATACCTCCCATATTCCAGAAACTTCCCTATGGCCATTCCCAAGCATTACCCACACACTATTTGGCCTGAAACAACTAAAATATTATCTGAAGAAATTTGCTGGCCCCTGTCTAATACAATCAAGCACTGGGCAGGTTCACCGTTGATTTGGGCAGATGGATAAAGAAAGTCTTCGATAGATTGTACAGGCCTTTAATGCTCTCTCAGGGAACTAAGTATACAGGCACACCCTCAGGCATGTAGGCAAGCAAGGAGGCGGCAGAGGCTGGGCAGGGTCAGGTTGAGTGGCTCAGGAGGCATCTGATGCTCCCAGCACCCCATGAATCCCCAAGCCCTTTCTTGCTTCTCTGTGGTGACCTCAGTCTCAGTCTTGCCTCAGAGTGGGCCTTCTTGGGTGATGCTACCGCTGCCTTTAGTGCTCCCCTCGATACACAGGTGTGAGCATTTACACATGTGCACACCCATGCTCTTTGGGCCCATCAGAGGCCACACACCCACACCTTTCAGCCCCAGGCATCCATGCTAGCCACAGGAGGGCATAAAAAAGCCTGATAATTTAATTTACCCTATAACCTGGTTATTCCTCCTCTCTTTAGTTTTCAAAATATGTTTGTTAAAGCAAACATTATACCATTGCTCAGGGATTTTAAAGTATGTAAATTGAATATGTA